GAGAGGGTTTAGGTTATCAGGAAGGCTTCACGAGAAGAAGTAATTCAATCTCAATCTGGAAAAAAAATGAAGATTCCTTTGAGAACCTGAGTGATCCAACTCAAGAAAAATGGGCGAATGATATGAAATGGCAATTCACAAAATGCAAATGGCCAACCTAAACATATGAAAAGATGCTCCACTTCACAAGTGACATATAATCGAAAACAACAAAAAGATATCTCACCTATTGGACAAGAGAAAAAACATTCAAGTCTGACAATAAAGTATGATGTAGAAAAATTGGAACCCTCAGGACCAGCAGTTAGCATAATGGCTATGCTACTGGACTCTCATGTAGTCCACTGCAGTTGAGTCCCAGACCCAGTGGCTTAAACTCATGCTGGGTACATGTGCATGCGTGCCCAAGATTCCCAGAGGAGAATGGAGGAGAAGGGATTGCATCATGACCATCCCCCCTCCCCCAGGGGGTGGGGTAGTTTCTTGCTTTCTGTCTCTCTCTGTCTTGCTGCCAAGTGCACACGCCCTATAGCAAAACTCTCAAAAAAGAAAAAAGAAAAATCAGAGTCCTCAGGTACTACTAATACAAATCATTTTGGAGAGTAATTTAGTAATATCTAATACAGTTGAAAATAAGGATATTTTAGTATAGTACTTCTACTCCAGTTTAATTCTACAGATAACCTCTCAAATATGTAAAAAATTAAAAATATAGGTGAGTAGTCATTGCAGTATTTCTTAACAGGAAAAATGCCCAGCAACAGAAAGTGGAATGAAAAATGTGGCATATTCACTTATATTATAGGATTTTTCTGTATCAGCACAAACAGAATGGCTTTATTTATGATAAGGCTGCTAGTTTTCCATTTATGAATATACCTACATTTGTACAGGTTATTCCTAGAATTATCTATTTAAAAAGCTGATACAACAGTTACTTTCGTTTATAGGAAATGGATTATTGAAGGATAATGATTGAAATTAACTTTTCACTAAATGCCATTTTATACATTTTGAATTTTATATTTTATGACTTTTAAAATGTTTTTTACATTTAATCACTGTATATCATTACAATATACAAAATGAGTTTTCTCAGCATTAATACACTGTATATTAGTCCAGTCAAAGTTACTGCCATACACATTTATCATCAGCAGATACTTTCCACTTTTGTGTCTCTTAGTTTTGCTTCCTCCTTCTTCCCCTTGATTCCCTCCCTCTCATGCTCTCCCACTTCCCACCCTCCTCCTGACTATCTCTAGTATCACCATTGCTCTCCATGCTTTTATACCTTCCAATCTTTCAGTTTCTGACATAAAGTGCAGACATTTTGATATATATTAAGTGGGGGCATACAATGCCTCTGCACAGCAAAACAAACAAAAATTGGAGTGAAGAAACAACCCTCAAAGTGAGAGAATATATTTGCAAACACTCCCTCAGATCAGGGACTGATAACCAAAATACATAGCAAACATAAACCATTTACCCACAAAAAAATAAACAACTCTCTAAGGAAGACATAGGAACAGCCAAAAAGTATATGAAAAATGCTTAAAATCCCTTATCTTAAGGGAGATATACATCAAAACAATGAGATATGATCTAATCCCAGTCAGAACAGCTAAGATTAAAAAAAAAAAATTTAAATGATAAGTGCTGGCAAGGCTGTGGAAAAACTCTCCTGCACTGTTAATGGAAATATAGATTAGTACAACCACTGTAGAGGACAATATGGAGGTTCCTTCAAGACCTACAAATAGAACTACCGTATGATCCAGCAATTACACTCCTGGGTATCTGCCCAAAGGATAGTAAATCATTCAGTCAGAAAAACACTTGCACATCCATGTTTATTGTGGTATTATTCACAAGTGCTAAGACATGGAATCAACCCAAATGTCCATGAACAGATGAATGTATTGCAAGACCATGGCACACATACACTATGGAGTAATACTCAGCCATAAAAAAATGAGATCCTGGCATTTTATAAAAAGTGGAAAAATATGGAAGATTTAATGCTAAGGTAAGTACTTTGTGGCTATTAAAAAAAAAAAAAAAAAGTTTAAGTCCCAGAAGGATGTGCATTTACCAGAGAGGGACAGAGAAAGAGACAGGGAGAAGGTACCCCGCCCATCCCTAGTGAGGCAGAGACACATTATCACTTCTCTTTCATTTCTCTATCCCATCAAGATTTTTGGTTCACATACACGTGCACCCAGCATGTTTTTCAAGCTGCAAGGCTGGGATTTGAACAACAGTCTGCCAGACGATATTTGGCTCCCTTAACCACTAGGCTATAAAGCAGCTCAAAAAATTTAAAATGTTAAAATATAAACATTAATATAAAATATGTCTAAAATATGTATACTATTAATATAAAACCACAAAACAACTAAAACAATTCTATTTATTGCAGCAAATGTCCAAATACATTCATAAAAATATCAATGACATTGAGTCATTGAAAAACTCATGACATTTTTTTCTATGCAAAAATGCATCATGACTTTTCTGATAATCCAGTAATTATCCCTAGGAAGGCTGAAATGGGATAGTGGATGAATATTCAAGAAGTTTTTAACTATATCTGTTGGGCTTTTTCCTTTAAAATTAACAAAAATCAAATATAGCAAATTATTCAGATTTAAGATGGCTGGATGACAGGTACAGGGGGTATTATGCTTCCTTTGATACATGCTTGGAATATATTGTAACTTTTTAGAAAATATATAAATCTGTTGCCTAGATAAAGACACTTAGCATAAGTACCAGGCAGGTAATGGCAATTTTAAAAATGTTACTTTTCATATAAGATACCTATGAATAAATCTAACCAAAGAAGTTAAATACCTCCCACAAGGAAAAGTATGAGAAGCTTAAAAAAAAAAATTAAAAATGACATCAAAAAAAGTGGAAGGACATCCCACGTTCTTGGATTGGAAGAATTAATAAAATCAAAATGGCAATTCTACTCAAATTAATCTAAATATTTAACACAATCCTAATCAAAGTACCAGAGACATTCTTCACAGATCTCGAAAAGACAATCATAGAATTCATCTGGAATCATAAAAGACCTCATATTGCCAAAGCAATCCTGCACAAGAATAGTGGAGTGGGTTGCATTTCCCTCCCTGAACCAAAAATATACTATGAAGCTGTGACAATCACAACAGCATGCTATTGGCACAGAAACAGACAGGTAGACTAGTGGAACAGAATAGAGACCCCAGGAATAAACTCCCAAACAGTCAACTGATTTGTGAAATAGGGTACCAGTCAATCCAGTGAGAGAAGGAAAACCTCTTTAGCAAATGGTGTGGAAAAATTGGATATCCACCTGCAAAAAAAATGAATCTGAACCCCAAGCTCTCACTATTGACAAAAATCAACTCAAAGTGGATCAAAGATCTAAATCTAAGACCGCAAACTATAAAAAATAATGCTGGAAAAAACTGGGGAAACACTGGGAGACACTGGGGTGGACAAAGACTTCTTATATAAGACCCCCAAAGCACAGTCAATAATCCCAAAAATAGACAAATGAGATTACATCAGATTAAGAAGTTTCTGCATGGCAAAAGACACAGTAATTAGAGTGAACTGACAGCCCTCATAATGGGAAAATATTTTTGTAAACTATGCATCAGATAAGGGACTGATAACAAGAATACACAAGGAACTCAAGCAGCTTTCCCAAAAAACGATGAGCAACCCAATTAAAAGATGGAAGAATGAGTTGAAAAACCACTTTCTGAGGAAGACATATGAATAGCCAAAAGGCATATGAAAAAATGTTTAACATCCCTCATTATAAAGGAGCTGCAGATCGAAACCACAGCGAGATACCACCTAACCCCAGTCAGAATGACTATGATTAAAAATAAATAAATAAATAAATAAGGTAAATGCTGGTGTGGTATGGTGAAAGGGAACTCTCCTACACTGCTGGTGGGAATGTAAATTGGTCCAGCCACTATAGAAAACAATATGGGGATTCCTCAAAGATCTACAGATGGAACTTCTATATGATCCAACAATCCCACTCCTTGGTATCTACACAAAGACCAGTAGAGTCCTTAGTCAGAAAAGTGCTTGCACATCAATGTTTATTGCAGCATTATTCACAATTGTTAAGACATAGAACCAACCTAAATGCCTACAAACAGAGGAATGGTTTGAAAAAGTGTGGCACATATACTCTATGGAATACTACTTAATCATAAAAGAACAAGACCCTAGCTTTTTTTTTTTTTTTTTGGAGAGATTTTCACTGTAGGGTGCGTGCGCTCGCCAGACAGACAGAGAGAGACATAGAGACAGAAAGCGAGAAATCACCCCCCCAGGGGGGATGGTCACGCCGCAATCCCTTCTCCTCCATTCTCCTCTCGGGATCTTGGGCACACACGCACACGCGCCCGGCGTGAGTTTTAAGCCACCAGGTCCGGGACACAAACCGCAGTCGACTACGTGGGAGTCCAGCGACATAGCCATTACGCTAACTGCTGGTTCCCAAGACCCTAGCTTTTGACAGAAAGTTGATGAATATAGAAGATTTACTGCTGAGTGAAGTAAGCCAGGCTATGAAAGAGAGACACTGTATGTCTCCACTTAATATATACTGAGTGTCCTCACTCTTTGGCTGAAACTGAATGACTAGAAGATATAGAAACATAGAAAATGGTTATAAATACCAAATACAGTGTGGGAAAAGGGTAGGTGAAGAAGAGTCTGAGGAAAGACATTAAGGAGAAAAATAGAGAGGAAATGCATTTATGGGACAAAGAAGTGGGTTGTTATCTGTTGAAGATAACATCTATATAGTATTCTCAACTGGACTGGGGAGAAATGTATACATATTGGAATATTCACTTTGCAAACTAAGTGCCACATGTGATTCAATGTATAAAAGAAATCAAAATTTAAAAATATATAAAAATGTTACTTTTCAGTCTGTGAGGCTTCATTTTATTACAATTTCTAGGACTTACTCTGCTAACTCCACTTTGTAAGCACTGAGTGTTGCATGGATATTCACTTTGAAAGTTGAAAGGGAACACTGCTCCTGTTAGAGAAAAAAAGGAATATTTATGGCTTTGATAAATGATATGACATCAACTAAAAAGCTTATGTGCCCAGGTTATTCCTGGCACTGTTTCTGAAATGTTTTCTCATAGTTCATTTATTCAATCCTATGATGTATCAATCTTTGTGTTGGGGGGTAGGTATATGAGCATGAAAAGAGTTTAGTAATAAAAGAGTTTACAGTGTAATTTAAAATACAAGCTCATAGAAAATTATTACAATATAATCTGATATACAATATGTTATATCAGAGATTTAGAGAAAGTACTAGGGAAAAAATAATGGGTTTTAGGGTATCAGGAAAGACTCACTAGAAAAACTAATTCAATCTCAATCTTCACTAAATTTAAGATATCCTTTGATGATACAAGTTGTCCAGCAAGTATAAAAGTGTATTAATACAGGCCAAAGTTGGGAACAACAGATGGTGTAGTAGTTATGTCACTGGATTCCCATATAGCTGACCGCAGTTTGAGTCCCCGACCCAATGACTTTAAAATCATGCCCATGCGTGCCTAAGATCCTGGTAGAATGGAGAAGGGATTGTGGCATGGCTATCCCCCCGGGAGGTGATTTTTTTTTTCAAGGCCAAAGTTAACTTTTGATCTATTAAACTTTTCTTTCTTTCTTTCTTTTTTTTTGTATGCCGAGTCAGTCAGTGTAGCACGCGTGCAGCCCCGAACATCTAAGGGCATCACAGACCATCTGTTAAACTTTTCTAATAACCCCCTATTCCCCTATCTGGCTCTTAAGAGGATTATATTGAGCTGTCAGAAAAGTCATGATGAATTTTTGGACTGAAAAACAGAAAACATATCATGACTTTTCCAACAAGCTAATAATTAAATGAGAGATTAAGGCTACCAACTCACTTGTGTCTCTTTCCATTCATCCATATAACTGCCTTGGAGGAAAGGTATCAATGAAAAACTGGATCTTCATGAGACAGCTTTGTGGTGCAGTGGTAATACACTGCTCAAGAGAAGCTATATCACACATAATGACTATAGTTCCAGTCCCCAGCCTAGTCAGCCTGAAACACACTGGAAATATGTACAAGTGCCCAAGGTCCAAAAGGCTGGAGAACTGGAGGAAGATCATGTTCTGACCACTCTATGGAGGGTGTTCACTTCTCTCACTCTCAGGTGTGTGTGCACATGCTCTATTTTAAGTTTTTTTTTAATTAATCACCTATTTAAAAAACAAAACACCTTGGTCTATGAAAATGAAGAGAGGTAAGTGTGATGGAAAAGACTGATCACAGAAAAGAGCTGTTGTCAATGGCTTTACATTCTTTCCTTTAGTATAAAATCTGAGACTTGACCCTACAGAATTATATACTACAAAGGTTAAATAATAAATAAACCTGCTTCCAGTATACTAGAAAGAAATAGTATCAGCATTGCTAAATTGTGGTCCAGGAAGATCCATTAATTTCAATTGTCCAACCTAAGTCACAACCACATTGAAGAAAACATGACCAAAGCAGAAAAAACCTTGTAGTAACCAAATGTAGTAAGGCAAATAGGTGACAGGAATTGGTTATATCATGCACACACCCCATTCTGGTAACAAGTAATACATAGAATAAAAATGTTAATATCCCAATTTATTTCAAAAATTGGTTCAAAAAAGTAGTTTCATGGAAAAGAGGAAAACAGTTTAGAATTTTGTTTAGATTTCTGAAATAAGGTATTTTCCAGCTTAAATATAGCTCTAATCTCCTTCAGAGTAAAAGTAAGACAGAAGCAATAAAGAATATGTAAGCGCTATTTTGTGCCAATTTTTTTTTTGCATATAGATATGTATTTTTAAAAGATCAGCTCTCTCTCCAACATGATTGCTCTGCAGTGATTATAATCATAGGGTACATTTCATATTAGGATTATCACTCTTACCAGAGGTCAATTAACTGTGAAAATCAAACATGAAAAAACACAAAGTTACTTTCAATCAAGGACTAGTTTCCTAACTCTGTTAATCTGGTAGACTATGGACGTTAGATTATTAATATCTTTTACCAAGACAGTACATGTAAACTCTTGAAACAGGGGAAATCATTCCTTTTCATTATTTCTTTAAATATATCTCTCAAACAATTACTTTATATATTATTTAACTTTTCAAATACAAACTAGCCATTAATATTTACAGAACTGTACACTGTATTATTCACCTGGTGGAGAAGCCAGATGACGAACAGGCCTTGCTGGTTGAAGCGTTTTACCAATCAATTTTTTGGTTTCCATTGTGACAGAGACCTTGAGGTTCCATACTTCAAGGGAAAAAAATACATTTTTATCTTTTAGACAAGATAATCAAGATGCTTTACATGTATACAAATAACCACAACAGTCATTTGAAGATATCCATTTTTAGGTAAAGGTGGAAAACACAAATACTAGAAAAGTATTTAAAATAACATGCAAAAGTCTTGGACCTCTCTATAGCATTTATCATTCTTGAACGTTTCCTTTTTCTTTTTTTTTTTTTTTTCCCCTTAGTTTTGCTACAGGACATGTGCTCTGCTCAGAGAGAGAGAAAGAGAGAAAGTGACATATCACCCATACCACAGTCCCTTCTCCTCCATTGTCCTCTCAAGATTTTGAGCACAAATGCCCAGTGTGTTTTTCAAGCCACTGGATCCAATACTCAAACTATGCAGTTTGCCATGTGGAATCCAGTTGTTGCCTTAACCTCTATGCCACCCACTAGCTGTGAACATTCTCTCTTTAAAGTATTTTTCTCCCTTAACTTCCTTGACTCTATTCTTTTGGTTTGTTTCCTGTTTCTTTAATTGCCTCTTCTAACTTCCTCAGCTGATTTCTTCTTCTGTTCTCCAGATAAATGCAAGGGAATTATCTCAAATTTGGTTTTAGTCTTCTTTGCTAACTTCATCTATTCTACCTATCCACATTATAAATGTGCCCTAATTCTTTTTTTTTTCCTTTTTTATTTCTAGTTAATCACTGCACATCTTTATATCTTACAACATGGTTTTCCCAGCATGAATGTGGTGCATATTAGTCAAGTGAAAGACATTACCATATACATTATTATAAATAGATAGCTTTCATTTTTGTCTATTAAGTGATGTTTGCTCTAATTCTTAAATCCAGCATCTACTTCTCTTTTAAATTCCAGCTACATTTTCCCAATTGCCTAATGTTATTTCAGCTTCTCTATCACAGACACCTCAAATTTAACATATTCAAATCCAATTACTTACTTTGACCCCTAAGATGTTCCTACTATATTCTTTAAAGTGACCATCAACTCCCTCAGACCATTCCTAGTTAAAGACATCTTCAATTTGGCAATCTAAGTTACAAAACTCACTCTATAATTAGTCTCTAACTCCTGTCCAGTCCACTTTCAAAATATATCGCAAATCTAATTTCTTCATTCCCACCACTATTGTTTTAATTTTATACTAGTTCTTAATTTTTTGATCACCTTTTAAATAGTTATTGGGACACCAATAATATATCCACAGCATGATATTTAGAGAATATAAAACTACACTATAATTGATTTCCTTCCATGCTAGACACATTATCTCTTTAAATACTCTGTTTAAAAAACTCCAGTTCCTCATCATCTCTTTGACCATTATAATTAAAATAGGAACCAGTATCCATACATAGTACGGATTGTACATAGTAAACTAGTTACCTACATTATGTTATTCAGAACAACTCTATAAATTAGGCATTATTAATAGCTCCAGCTCAGTTTTCAAGTCAGCATACCTGGGCTCATGTCATGGATCTACAAACTAGTATATAACTGAATGAAAAACACTTGCTTTTACCTCTTAGGTGATATGAAGACAAAAGATAATCTAAATAAAGCACTTAGCACAAGACATGGTACATAACACGAGTTCAATAAACATTAACCATTATTATCCTAATTTTACAAATAAGGCTTAAAGAAGTAAGGTAATTAATTAGTCCAAGGTAAGGAAATGATGAATATGCCCATACTCATGCTTCTCATCAGTATGCTACAATCTAACTAGCCCCATCGTTTCCTTCCACCTCACACCCAGGTAGAACTGCCCAAGTTCTGGTTAAGTAACCTTTGTACATGCTCAAAAAGCATACTTGAATTCTCTTCTAACAAGATATTTATTGCACTAGTTGCAATTAACTATTACCTTAATATTAAATAAATGACAGTTCTATCATTAAGTTAAATCTCTAGTATCTAGCACAGAATCTACTACACAGTGATTGCTCAATACATTGTGGAACTAATGTTTTTTTTTTTTTCACCATATATCTAGATATTCAGGCACTCTGTCAAGAATTCCCTCACTCTCCCAACTACTCTTCTTCCAAATAGCTATTTATCGTTCAAGTCAATCAGGTGCTTACTAATTCCTTAGAAAATATCTTTATGTTCAATAGAAAATATTAAATAAAACAGTTTACATGATGTTCTATAGTTACTAATGAACAGTTAAACAATAATAATTCCTCTTTCCCATGTACATCTCTACTGGCATCTACTTAACTGTCTATCGGTTTTTCTAAAATAAATCATAGTAAATATATGACATATCCATTTGATTAGAATATGAGTTAGAGACTACAAAATCTGGACCTTATTTATCCTTATATCCTAGTACTTGTAACATAATTAGTTTTACTAAATAAACTAAAAGTTTAAGTACCTCCTTATTATAACTGAAATCTTCTGATGCCTGCATGGGACACAGTAATCCAAAAGTTTATGCTCAGCAAGTAAAACCGTACTTGACTTTGTACCTATTCATCCAGAAACAACTGTAAACATATAATTTTAAATCACAAGTCTAAGTAAGTGTTTCCTCAAGTATAAGGTTAATATGAAAAGAGGGAGAGATGGAGGAGAGGGATTTGGAGCATGACCATTCCCCCTGGGAGATGCTGTCTTGCTTGCCCTTTCCCTCTGTCTGTCTTTCTCTCTAGCAAGTACATGCACCCTCTAGCAAAAATTAAAATAATAATAATAAATAACTTTTTTAGTTCCAATAAATACTTTGTCCTATTTCAAAATGCCTTTGCACATATACAATTCAAATGTTAAAATCATAAACTTATGGGGCTGGCTAGTGGTGTGATGTAAAGTTAAGGATGTTAGACTCTCACATGGCTGACCATGGTTTGCGTCCTAGACATGGTGGCTTGCTTGCTCACTTTCCCTCTCTCTCTCTCTCTCCCTGCTCCTTGCTCTCTTGCTCTGTTCCTCTCTGGTCAAATTTAAAAATAAATAAATAAATAAATAAGTTAAATAAAATATTTTTTTTTAAAAATCACAAACTTATAAATAAACAATGGTAACTAAGAGGAAAAGAGTAGCTATTTTTCTAAACTTAAGAGATAAACCAGTCAACATTCCCAGTTAAAATCTTCCTAGGTTTAGGTATTAACTAGTTAACTAGTATTTCAACATGGCTACTAACAATTTTCTGAACAAAACTAATGTTTATCTGTATTGGTTGAAAATATGTTTTTGATGGGACCAGCACTTAGTGTAATGGCTATGTCGCTAGACTCCCATGCAATCAACTGCAGTTCGAGTCCTGGACCCAGTGGCTTAAACTCACACCAGGCGTGTATGCGTGTGTGCCCAAGATCCCGAGAGGAGAATGGAGGAGATGGGATGGCGGGGTGGCCATCGCCCCTGGGTGGGGGGGGGGGGGATTTCTCACTCTGTCTCTCTGTCTCTCTCTGTCTTTCTAGCGAGTGCATGTGCCCTATAGCAAAAACCTCTCAAAAAAAAAACAAGAAAAAAGAAAATATGTTTTTGATGTAGCAGGAAGCAAAAAAGATACAAGTACAGGCAGCAAAAAGTACTTCAAACAAATATTTATTAAATTTTCTATGCAGAAGGGACTACTTAAAATAAGGACCCCAAAGCATTCTAATATATGGTATAATGCCTTGTTATTAAACGCTTATTCTAGCAATTTAATTAGGACCCTAATGCTAGCATGTAGTAACTTTCCATCCTGTTTCCCATATAAAACTAGTGAATCAGAATACAATAGAATAGAGTACTTTGGCAAACACTTCCTTGTTTTTCATTGCTCAGCTGAAATTGAGTTGTAGGTTGTAAAGTCCTTTCTAGTTGCTGAGCAAGGCAAATCCACAGTATTCAAACTAGGGATTTTCAAGAGTTGGGAGTTACAGAACTCTGTTACATAATTTTTCAATACAAATAAATAAACAAAAAATAAAAGCTCTTTTTAGTACTACCTACCCTTCAATTTGTAGTAGGAAAAATATAGCAAGAGCTATGCAGATATAAATCCTCATCAGTTAAGAAAATTAAAGCAGATGGTGCTATACACTACTCTGTTCAATATGTGTGTTTTTTTTTAAAGTAAACTATGCCTACATGGGAATACTGACATCATAGAGAATGCATTTAGAATTACAATGCATACTACATATTACCATGTTATTAAAGGAAAAGGCTAAGTATAACAAAAAGTAACCATTACTGTAAAACTGAACCATGGGATTACAATCAAGACAGAATTCCATAAACCAAAACCTAGCTCTTGGTTTAGTTAAAAATAATAACTTACCCCAACTACAAAGTCAGTATACAAAATAACTTCAGTGTTAAAGTCTAATGTCTTCCTCAATCACAAAATGTCAAGCTCAGAAAGTTTCCCTTGAAGATACTGATAACTACCTGAAGTAGGTATTTATTATTTCAACTGTTACAAAGAACAAGAATTGCAAAAGAAACAATCCAACATATAACATTGCAAAGCAAGTAATGGGTCTATCATAAAGTTGTCTTTTTTTTTTTCCCTAGGTTTTTGACATAGGGCATATGCACTCACCAGAGAAAGACCCAGAGAGAGACAATGAGAGGGAAAGTGAGAAATAACCCCACAGGGGGATAAACATGCTGCAATCCCTTCTCCTTCATTCTCCTGGGATTTGGGGCACGCACTCACACATGCCCAGTGTGATTTTGAAGCCACCAGGTCCAGGATTTGAGCCAACTGGGGCTGGACATATAAGAGTCCAGTGCCATAACCACCATATGCCAAACCACCTGCTGGCTCCTATAAAGTTGTCTTTAAGGGACCAGAAGGTGGTGTGGCAGTTAAGGCGCTGGACTCCCAAATGATGGAACATAGTTCCACTCCCCAACCCTGAGGCTTGTGAATCACTGGCTGGAGATCAGCAGATAGCATAATGGTTACATCACTGGACTCCCACATGGATGACTGCAGTATGATTTCAAGACCTGGCGACTTAAAACACACACAGCAGGAGCGTGACCATGCATCCCCAAGATCCTGAGAGGAAAATGGAGGAGAAGGAATTGTAGTGTGGCCATCCCCCCCACCACCACCCCCTCCCCGGAGATGATTTCTTGCTTTCTGTCTCTGTAACCTCAGCAAGCACATGTGCCCTATAGCAAAAACCTCTCAAAAAAAAATCACTGGCTGATATGTGGAGAGAAGGGATTACAGTCCCCTGCAGGGTGATTTCTTACTTTCTCTCTCTGTCTCTCTCTGGCGAGCTTATACACCCTAGAGCAAAACATAAAAAAATAAAAAGCTGTCTTTTAAAATGTAAACATACAGTTTTGTGGTACCAATTTTTTAAAGGACATTTTGATCCAATATCTCAAAAATATTCACGTTACTAATACACACATGCTGAGAAATGTTTACTGAATAAAGGGTTCTTTTTCAAGTTCATGCATATTTAACATGTCATTTTCAAGATGTCTGTAAGTCAGGAAAACTAAATCTTTTTTTTTTTTTTTTTTGGGGTGGAGAGTTTTTTACTACAGGGCACGTACGCTCGCCAGACAGAGAGAAAGAGACACAGAGAGCTAGAAAGCGAGAAATCACTCCCCAGGGGGGATGGCCACGCCGCAATCCCTTCTCCTCCATTCTCCTCTCAGGATCCTGGGCACACACACACACACGCCCAGCATTAGTTTAAGCCACCGAGTCCGGGACTCGAACTGCAGTCGACTACATGGGAGTCCAGCGACTTAGCCATTACGCTAACTGCTGGTCCCCAGGAAAACTAAATCTTAGTAACTATTTCACATATGGCAATACTAACTATATCTTACATTCCTTTTTTTTTTATTAAAATGCTTATGAACACTCAGGCTCCATCACTTTTGAAACTACAAAGTAACCTAGAATTTTCTGGAATATTTATACAATTGGGAGAATAAGCACATATACTGATCTAATTTGGACACAGTGTTATTACCTAGCATATGATATTCTTTAAAACAACAAAAAACAATGATCTTGCCTTGTTGCAATTCTTCTAATAGTCACCCCTGGCTGCTGGGACTACAGGTGCATGCCACTACACTCAGTTGTTAGCTGGACTGAGAACTGGACCCTGGGCCCCCTGTGTGATCTTAGCTTGCAGAGCATAGTGTCTTAACAGTCCATGCCATTACATCTGAGCCAGTAGGTAGGTAGGCAGCACATTTTTAAAGATTTTACTACATGCAAAATGTCTTACATATATTACCTCATTTAACTTTGAGCTATATATTAACTATAGGAGAAAGTCATTGTTAGTCCCACTATACAGATGAGAAACCTGAGGCTTGGAAAAATAAGAGACATTCTCACGGCTAACAAGTGTTAGAACTAAGGACTTGACTACAACATTCCCTTGTCTCTAAAATGTTTGGTAAGTAAAAGAAAGACATCTTACTATTCACTATCCCATGTGCCCATTGCATATATAGCTTAATATTGCCCATAAGAAGGTCCTGCATAAAGCCCTGTTGAATAAACTGGCACGTGCTAATAATTTCCATTACCTCAATTTACAGTTTTACTTAGAATATTAAAATATGAAATTACAATGTTTTCTTCATTCTGTGAACATATTATCCTATCACACTAATCATGTCACAATATAAGAAATATGCTCTGTTTAGAAACTGAGTACTCTATCTAAAATCTCCAATTTAAACCCTAGACTTTTCAAAGAATTGATGATTCTGCTACAATTTAGAAATAAGATCATATAAAATTAAATGGTCAATAAAAAGACCATATTTCCATTTACCTTGTGTTATGCTTCTCATTTGATAACCAGATAGAATAACCTTAATTTCCAATTTCCAAAATATTACTTTTATAAAGTTAGGATTCCTTGGGACCAAATGTTGCTTATAAGTAAAATACCTATACTGATAAAATGATAGATGAAAAATAACATAAGGAACTACAGGAGAGCAAGAGATAAACCAATCAGGTGATAGAAGACGCACACTCTACAAATCCAGTTGTATCTATTCAGGAATAATTAAAATAAAATTTAAAAAACTATAAGCCAAGAGTCCCATGAGTCCCAGTATATTTTTCATTTCACATTTCTTTATAACTACCAAAAATAGGATTTTTTTTCCCCTTTATTTGAAGCGTTTTGCAATACTATCACTGTGTAAGGTATCTTTAGACGGGATAAAACTGTGCGGACAAATGGGTGTTCGTGGTAATTCTAAGTAATGTAACCGCCCTTTTCTGCAACTTTGCCAAAATACCAGCAATTAAATCACTTTTGCCACAGGGACTGGAGAATAGTGTCGCCAGGCTAAGGCCGCCTCGCACCGAAGTCGGACCAGAGACAGCGGCGCCGCGTCCTCCCCGCATCTGCGTTTCTGCGCGGTGGCAGGTTTGGCCGTCGTCTGCAGCGCCGCTTAGCCCTGGCCCTGGTGGGAGTTCCCCACCCTTGGACGCCTTCCTTCCCGGGCCCGCCCCCGCCCGCAGCCCACCGTCACCCGCCTGGGGACGCCTGGGGGCCGTCGCTGAGCGCGGGGTCCTGTCAGCCCAGGGCTTCTCCCTCCCTCAACTTTCCGCGCCCACCTCCCTCCCCGCCCCGCCGGGCCGGCTTGTCCTCGGTGCGGTTCGTTCTTCCTTCCGCACAAGTTACCTACCGCCTCAGGATCCACGGGAAGTCCGGGGCCGCTGCGTCGCCGCGCTCAGCCCAG